AGGTGAAGATACTGAATGACAGAAAGCCGTAGGTTCCCTTTAAAAAAGAGCATCTGTTTAATATCTTGCACTTTAACATACTTTTGTGTTGTTCAGGTTGCTGTTTTCCTTTAACTCTTTTATTTTGACCTTAATTCAGAACACTGTGTATTTTTCCTGATGTTCTTTGGGGTGGGTGGTGTGGGATAGAATTCAGAGCCTTGAACTATTTTTGAGGAGGTTCCCCTTCAGCTTCCAAGAGGCTGTACTAGAGCTGTGCTAGCAATGTGTGAAAAACTAGACATAGGGCAGTCTAGTGGGAATCTGTTTGTGACTTAATGAAGTAGCGTTCTTTAATTTGTTTTGTAGATATAAGGTAGAGTTCAGTGGGTTTTGGAGATGGGAAACTAATGTGTTCTGAGTATGCTAATACTTAACCTTTTGCTTTCATGAGAACAGCTTCATTTATTGTAGACTTCTGAGATTCCAAGTGTCAGTAGTCCAGTGGAGAAGCAACTAAGGCATTAATGACAGAAGTCATTTGGTATCAGAGAGAAAGAACAGAGGTGGAACAAATGTTCTGTGTTCAGACTTCACTTTCCAAGTGAAATCATCAGTATTTCTGGACATTGATGTTTCTTTCTCCCAGTAGAAAGGAAGAGTAAGCAACTTGCCTACATTGCTATGGAAGAATTTGAAGAATAAGGAAAATAAAATTTCAACTTAAAGTGTAGATAGAAATGTTGTCTTTTGGTTTTGTCTTGCATAAAAATAATTTTGGCTAAGCTATTTCTACAGAAATTCCCTTTTTTAACAAAACGTCTTCCCTTCAAACAGAAGCCATGTGTGCAGCCCTTTTTAGTTTATTGGCATTTCAGTCTTCTGCTTTGTTATTCCTTCAGTCAAAAATTGCCTATCCTTCTTGCTCTCTGCACTGTATGCCAGAACCTGTTCATGCACTTATGGACATACCAGTCAGATTTTACTATAAAATCAATACAGATACAGTGGCTAGCATTAAGAAACAAAGTTACTTAATGTAAAAACAGTGTTAATTAAGCATCTCTTTTTGTAGGAAGCTCTCTGTGTGTTTCTTTAGTTATGGCTGAAAATTTTAAGTTGTCAATATTACATAACAACATAAGATTTTTTTTTTAATTATGTGGCTGAAATAGGAAGACAGTAAGTCTCTGACAGGCAGAGATTCTCATGTGATGCTCTTGTGATCTTCCTGTGATAGTAAACACTGCAGCAAGTTTTACTCCTTGAATGCAGGCTGTCTTTTAATTATCATCAAATTATTATCTTCCTCAGCAACTACTTCATATATAACTGAGCTACTGATGTAGTCACTGGGTGGACACCTTGTTGGCTCTGTGGGTTTCTGTTAGCCCCACTTCAGTCAGTTGCCTGATTCTGTATCCTTCTCCTTTGTACAACTAAGTTGAGTGTTGGTTTGTTGCAGTGGAAAGGTAGAAGCTTGTATTTCTGAAGCCAGTTTCTTCTTAACATGTTTGGATTCGTTGCTGCAAGTCACTTTTTTAATACTGTCAAAGGCATTGATTGCCTAGCGCACTAAGATCGGTTGCGTATGTAAATCTTTCTCCTAGCTAAAGCTGAAATACAGTTGATTTATATAATCAGGTTTAATAGTACATAATTTCCAGTAAGCAGTAAACATATATACCTCTTCTGGCAAAAGAGTGAAACCATCTATTTAAAATCCACAACAATTAAAGGAATACATTTGCAAGTGAGTAACAACTAGAAGTTTTCCTTCCATGTTGATTATGTTGCAGACATCCTGTATAAATGTAAAATTATTTGCCATAATGAACATGATCAAGTGATATGTTTTATGTCTTATGTTGTGCATCTTTGCAGTCTTCTTGTTCATCATCTGCAAATCAATATGTGGGTTTTATTCCTTACTTCAAAAATACAAGTACTATCTGTGAAGTTTCAGTAACTGCAATTCTCTTAGAAGGGTTAGTAGTAGCGTAATCTGTATAGTTTGGTCAATAGCAAAGGTTTTGTCCCTGTTTGCACTTAGTCATACCCTAAATGGTAAAGATAGAAGGCAGATTTATTTAAAATTAGACTTAATTCATAAAAGTAACAGCTTGCTGGACAAGCTATGGCTCTAAAAAGGACTTTGTTCTTGCTTCTAAAAATATGCTGATGCTGGGTTTTTTAATGTTTACTGTACTCTATCTCTTGAACTAGAACCTTGCTATGCAAAGATCAATTTTATACTTCTAGGTCCATTGGGCCACTGCTTGTGTTGAGGATGACATTAGGAACAGAAATTACTAGCCAGCTTAAGGCTTCTTCATACATAGCATCAGGCCGAAACCTTTTGAGATGGGACCTGTCACCAGAGGAAATTAGAACAAGAACAGAAGAACTTATCAGGAAGACAAAGCATGTCTATGACAGAGTCGGGATGCTTGATATTGAAGAAGTAACACATGAAAATACTGTACGGGCTTTGGCAGACATAGAAGTGGAATACGCAGGTTAGTGTATATTTTTTGTGATTCTTTCTACAGGGCATTCCATCTTCACATAAAGAAACATTGAGAAAAAATAGTAACTGCTTACAATTTTGATCCCTACTGTTATTGTGTAGAGGCCTCTCAAGAGTCCTCTGGTCATAATGATCTTTCAGGACCTCTCAGCAATATGTAACATGATCAGCTACAAAGTTCTACTCCTTTATTCTAGAGATAAAAACAAGGATTGACTAAACTGTGCTGTTGATGTCTTTGACACATGCAGAGAACTGCATTGGTCCCCTGATTTCTTTTCCAACTCTGTGCAGGGGACAGTGTGCAGTGTCTTTGGTATGTGTAATACATTAAACTTGGTAGGCAGTGCTTTTTTTCAGACACTGCAGAATCTGAGACAAGCGAGTCAAATGGAGCAATGGAAGGGTTGGTAAACCGATAGTGGAGAAAATGTGATGGTTGAGAATGAAGGAATTTTTGAATGCATTATTGAAAGAAGACTGTTTTACTTGCTTACCTTTGTATTATGGCTTGCAAGGCCTTGTAGAATCCGGGGAGAGGTTCATCATGCACTCACATCTAGATTGTTCTTACTGAGTTATCCAGACATGTCAGTGTATGGATGGAGTTTGATGGTCAAAACAGGTTATAGAGGTAATTTGTTAATAATTGTCAGTCAGAGGAGTGGGAAAAATATGAACCCTGTCTTGAGTGGCTTTGTTTTGAAAAACCTGTCAGATGGTGGCTGCATTACTTACAAAGCAGTCAGTGTAATAAATGTCAAGTTCTTTTGAATACTCTAAAAAATCTGCAGTAGCCACAGAAGTGCTGAAAGCAGCAACCTTGGCTTGGAGTAAAAGCTTTGACTAGCAAACAAGATCAGCCTGCAGCTCAAATTATTGTACTGTAATGTTAGTCTGGCTTTCACATTACTTAAAATTGCAGTTTAGGCACATACAGTGAACTGGCTGGAATTTATGCTGGCAGAAAGACTGAGTAATCTTCATTCAGCCAACTTCCTGCCAGATTCAGTTTTAATTGTACCAATGTATTTGGTATAATTTTTGTAAGCCTTTTTACCAAGGCATAAAACTCTCTTCTTTAAATTAAATTAGAAGGAAACACTTGTTTGACGTGGAAAATAATGGCTATCAGCTTCTCAGCATAGCCACTAAGAGTTGATCCAAAATATACCTTTTTCACTACATGCTATTGCCATAATGGGTCACATTTCAGTTTTTAATGCTAATCTTCAAAGCTGTATGTGACATTATCATGACTTACTGTGAAATAGCCCATGGCATATAATAAGTATTACCACAGCAAGACTTCCATTAGAACCTTAGAATTTAAAGCCAGTGTGTTCCTTCCACATGAAAGGCCTGCCCTAGTAACTGGAAATTATTATCCCAAAAACCAGAGATGACAACAGGCCTTACAAGTCAGTTGAAAACTGCCTAAACTCACCTTATCATTTTTAAACATTTTGGCATGAGGGCAGGATGTAGAGGGGAAAGTTTCCTATGGACTTCAAGAAGAACCATATGCCCATGTTTGCATTCCAGAGATTTCTGAAGGGCTGAGAGTATCTCAGGACTTGATAAAACAACTGCACATTACATAAAATTACAAAGCTTTAAATCAGGCTAAAATGGTGTTGCTAAAATGTTGTTACTCTAAAATGTAGTTTTGGAGAGGTAAAGGGTAGAGACATTATAACTGATTTTTAATTAAGTGAATTGATTTCTACTTCAGGATTTCTATTCAATCTCATTATAAGATGTAATATTCCTTTAATAAGCAAGGATTTACTTAATCTCAAAAGTATATTCTATAAAAGTAATATTACTCAGCTTCTAATTTCTAAAAGTTCAGAATACATAGTATCTTCTGTGTTCGCCTTAAACACAGAGGAGTGCTGTACATGGGGATTTGACAGTGAGCTCATAACAATATAAAAATAACTTCAGGACAGATGGGCATGTTTGAAAGATTCAGAGCTTTTGACTTTTAGGTGCTAACGTGGAAGCATCTGTGCCAGCTATGAAACAATGTCAGTCTTCACTTACATGACTTCTGGAAGATGAACTATTTGTATCATATTTATACACCTTTCAGTTGATTTTGTGGAAGACAATGAGATAATTAGGCTTGGGTAATAGATAGCTTCTCTATACTATGGTATGTGGTTTTGTCCTTTTGCCTATTCGTTTTTACTTTATATGTAATAACTATTTGCTTCAAGCCTGATCTGAAGCGTCAAGTTGCTTTGGATATTTGTTTCTTATGTCTTCTGTAAATGTCAGAAGGGGGAAAGTTCCTTATCCTTAAGGCACGTCTAACCTTCTGTGTTCATTGCTTCTTATTTAAACAGTGGAAAGAAGCATGTTGGATTTTCCCCAGCACATTTCACCTGACAAAGAGGTACGCTTAGCAAGTACAGAAGCTGACAAAAAGCTTTCTAATTTCGATGTGGAGATGAGCATGAGAGAAGATGTGTTTCAGAAGATTGTTTATTTACAGGTAAATCATGGTGATGTCTGCATAACTTGTTATGTATCTAAATGTATCTAAAATTTGTTCTTATACACAGTGCTTTTCAAAATCACTCTGTATTTCCTCTCTGTTTATGCCAATCAAATCTTTCCAGCGGGACACAGCTATACAACGGAAAACAATCTACCTTGGTGCTTCCACTCTTTGCAGGCCATATTCTAGGTCTCTGTATCCTTTTCTCCATTTTATCTTTAGTCTTCCAATGAGCTGGTTAAGCTGGAAGCTAAACTAACAGAAGGAAACCTATCAGGAGAAGCATTTTTTTGTTTTCTGTTGGCTGAGCTCCCTGAACTCATTCCAAGAGGGAAGGAAGAGGCAATACAGCACTGTATTTACATTGGCTTATACTGTTTTTCAATTTGTGTCCAAACTTACACTGTATTGAAATAGTTAAGAATTTTAAATTTAGAAGTTGTTTTAAGTTATGAAAATTAATGAGAACATATAACTTGGAGTGACCTCTGAAATTACCTCTTTTGACCTGCTCATTATAGACAGTTACACTATATACTTTTGCTCATCAATTGCTTTGACCACAAAATAAAACTATGTCAAAAAATGCTTTTCCTGTTGAACTAGTTTCTATCCCTTTTGTTTTTCTGTTTAGCTTCTCTTCTAATTGAGCACCCTTAGGTATCTTGTGTTCTTCATTTGTACTAATTATTTTGTAGCTCAAACAGGAAGAATATTTGGTTTTGTTCAAATCTAGTGACATTTAGTAATAATTTTCCAAAAAGGTCTGATTTAAGGATAATACAAGGAAGCTATCAAATATGAAAACTAAAATATTTTTTTCCTATGGTTTACATGTGAATCTTCGCTTTCAAACCCCACTGATTTTTAACCTTCTCATAATGCTAATGGAGCCTCTACTTCTTGGAGTTGTTGTTTGTGCTTTTTGCAGTGTTGACTGAGAACCAGAATAATGCTTGCAGTGCCTTATTAAAGTGCCTTCCAATACCATTGTCTTATTTTGCCGTGTTTTCCAGAGAAGCTTTCAGATGTTCTCCTCTAGCTGGGTATTGTTTATGTGTTTGTACAGGTATATAATAGCCCCATTCAGTTGTGTGTTGGCAGACAGTGCTTTATGTTGATTTTTTTCTTCTTCCCCTGCTCTGTGGCTAGTAATTAAATGGTTTGATATGTATTTATTATTTGCTGTGGTTTTCCCCAGCATCCAGTATAATATATGCAAGTACATTTAGGGCAGATCTGCGTTATCTCTGAATCTACCTATTTTTAATTTACAAGGATATCTGACAGTAGTTAGTGAAAACTGATTACTGTTACTTGCTACTACTACTTTCTTAAAATTTTTTAACTCTTTCATTTGGTGTTTTCCTGTCATTTACCTTTGCAGCAATATTTGGCCTTTATGACACTTAGAATTGCTGATTAAATCTCCATTCAGTATTTTTAGACATTTTTCTTGGCTTAACTGCAGCATGCAAGCATGTTTTAGTATTAGTTTTCCAGAGATGCAACCTCTGAGCATATATCAGCTTCATAATAACTGTTAAAGTAGTAGCAGTTTTGCCGTAGCACAACTGTGAAATTGCCAATAATGCCAGACTGGTGAAATCTTGCTATTTCCAAATTATACATTTTTTGTTAATTTTTGCTGAATTTCTAATG